TTTAAAGTTAGCCTGATTCATTCCAGCTTTGGTTATAATTCAATAAGAATCTGGTTCTTCCTAAAGTTGCTTCAAGTCACAAAAGATGACAGGAGATGGTGCAGCATGAGCTGAAGGAGCTTTTGGCAGTACAGACTTGACTGGCCGATGGGCCTCTTTTGCTCTGTATGAATGTATGTTTCTTAGGTTTCTGCAGAAACCTGTTTCTCCCAGAATTGACAGCATTGATCGGCAATCTGCTGAGGATAGAGTGCACTGTGGAGAACATAGAGACCAGGCAGGGCACAACACAAAAGAGGATGACGAGAAAGATGACACTCAGCAATCCCTGATTGGCTGAAGCATTGCCATGGAGAAAGCAACACAGTCAATATAGTCCTCTCAAACTCCCAATCAAAGTCAACAACCCTAACCGCAACTCATCCCTCACACCCCGTCCCCGCAATAACAACCAAAAAAGAATCCCCCTCGTCCTCACATACCACCCACTAACCTCCGGATCCAACGCACCATCCTCTAACACTTCCGCCATCTGCAATCCGACCCCACCACCAAAGACATTTTTCCCTCCCCACCCTTATCTGCTTTCCGGAGGGACCAGTCTCTCCATGACTCCCTCGTCCGCTCCACACTCCCCTCCAGCCCCACCACACCCGGCACTTTTCACTGCAACCGCAGGAAGTGCTACACCTGTCCCCACACCTCCTCCCTCACCCCCATCCCAGGGCCCAAGAAGACTTTCCACATCAAGCAGATGTTCACCTGCACATCTGCTAATGTGGTATACTGCATCCGCTGTACCCGTTATGGCCTCCTCTACATCGGGGAAACCAAGCGGAGGCTTGGGGACCACTTTGCAGAACACCTAAGCTCGGTTTGCACTAAACAACTGCACCTCCCAGTCATGAACCATTTCAACTCCCCCTCCTATTCCTCAGACGACATGTCCATCCTGGGCCTCCTGCAGTGCCACAACGATGCCACTCGAAGGTTGCAGGAACAGCAACTCATATTCTGCTTGGGAACCCTGCAGCCCAATGGTATCAATGTAGATTTCACAAGCTTCAAAATCTCCCCTCCCCCTACCGCATCCCAAAACCAGCCCAGCTCGTTCCCGCCTCCCTAACCTGTTCTTCCTCCCACCTCAAGCCGCACCCCCATCTCCTACCTACTAACCTCATCCCGCCCCCTTGACTTGTCCGTCCTCCCTGGACTGACCTATCTCCTCCCTAACTCCCCACCTACACTCACCTTTACTGGTTCCATCCCCGCCTCTTTGACCTGTGTTTCCTCTCCACCTATCTTCTCCTCTATCCATCTTCTATCCACCTCCCGCTCTCTCCCTATTTATTTCAGAACCCCCTTCCCCTCCCCCATTTCTGAAGAAGGGTCTAGGCCTGAAACATCAGCCTTCCTGCTCCTATGATGCTGCTTGGCCTGCTGTGTTCATCCAGCTCTACACCTGGTTATCTCAGATTTTCCAGCATCTGCAGTTCCAACTATCTCTCATGCCCACCAATCAGCACTCTTTGCTCCTGTACTATGAATAGTTTGAAATTTGGCACTCTTGCATTTACCCAGTAGTGCAAGAGTAAAAGCCAAATTTCCCTCCTTTCAGCAAGATTTGTGTTCCTCACTGACCAAATTACCCCTTGAAGAATGTATGTAAATGATCTTGGGACATTATTCAAAGAGCAGGGAAGTCTGTTTGTGATCTGGCAAAGATTTCTCCCTCAGGTAACAGCACAAGATCAGATTAGCACATAAATCGGTTCGTAAAATTTGCTTGGGTCCAAATTGGCAGCTGCAATAACTTCAAAAATACTGTGAAACACTCTGGGATATCCCAAGGCCATGAAATGCACCGGATAAACAAGGTCACTCTTGCCAAAAATTGAGACTATACTGATTTATTCAAGTTTCTCATTCCTCATTCATTTCAACACCAAGGTCTTTTATGAAATTGTAAACCAACTTGATCAGAAATTGAACAATACCATTAAACCCTTGCCCCAAGGTTGAAAGAAGTTTCATTCTGAATTGGTATATTGTACATGGGACTTAAACAGGCCAAATAATAGAGATAACACAGTGTGGAGCTGGAGGAACACAGCAGGCCAGGCAGCAGGAAAGTTGACGTTTCAGGTCGGGACCCTTCTCTGATGCTGCCTGGCCTGCTACATTCCTCCAGGTCTACACGGTTATCTCTGACTGCAGCACCTGCAGTTCTTACTATCTTTAAGTAATAGAGAATTTTTAAAAATATTTTTATTTAACCTGTTTTTCCTAGTCAACCTGTTCAGAGCCATTATTTCACACCTCTGGAGCAGGTGGAAGTTAAACCAGGTCTCCGAGTACAGGGACAGGAACATTACCATTGTGCCACATGAGGGCCCCAACAGAGTCTTTTATTTCATATCGTTAAATTCAAATTGGTTGATTTTATATACAGGTAATCTCAAATTAGACTGAAGAGCAGCAGAAAGCACAAAGTGATAAATCATTGAGAAGTCTATCTTTGAGTGACATTGTAGAGGTTGCTGATTGGGACCTCACTTACCTGTTGTCACTATTACGTACTTGTAGATATATGTTTAATCACTCTGTTTCTATCTGTTATTACACACCTCTAAAGCAGGTGGGACTTGAATCTGGGCCCAGGGGAAGGAATACAACCACTGCATCACAAGGGACCTCTATACATTTTCCATTCAATTACTCATTGTAAACTAGGGGGTACAACATTTTATAATGAAAGGGATAAAGATTAATAATGAATGTAGGTGATCTGCTTTATCACTGCTCCTGAACAAAACCAGCATCCTCAGTCTCTGACACTAATTCAGCTTTTTTCTAATCTGTTCTAGCTGTCACTGCCTGTCTACATTCTTCTTTTGTGCATCTGCACTCCATCTCTACAAGCTGCTTGTTCACATTTGTCAGCTTCTGTATTTGATTCTCTCTACCCTGCACTAGTGCCAGCATGGCTCTGCTGTAACCACTGCCACCCCAAGACAAACCCTACTCCGGGGCATGAGCACAACAGGCTGACAGTCCACTGTAGTGCTGAGGCGATGCCACACAGAGGTACCATCTGCTACAGTAGCTGTTATATCACATATTAACTCTCAAATAGATGTAAAAGGCACTAGTAAAAGGAACTAGAAGAGTTGGGGAGTTCTGCCTGGTATTCTGGCTATCACTTCTCCCTCAATCAACATCACCAAAATGGAATACCCAGTCATTACTGTATGTTTTGGGACTTGCTTAATGCAAATTCGTGGTTACATTTCTTGTACATCAAATAAAGTACTTCATTGACTGAAAAGGATGTTAGAACATGAACAGTACAGGCCCTTCGGCCCATGATGTTATGCCGAACTTTTACCCTAAACCTATGTTCTATGATCATGAAGGGTGCTATATAAATTCAAACCTTCAGGACAAAAAAAGTGTGCTGATACCAATGCTGTAATGTAAATTGTTGTGATTGTTTAGAATGTGGCATTCTTGTTCCTATCCTGATGAATGCGAAGTAAAGAGGTTTGTCAACACGTGTCTCTTTACAACAATACTCAATAACTACTGACAACCAAATGTAAAGTTCGCAAGGATCCACATTCACTGTGGGCAGGCTGAGAGTTGTCTCTAGGTGAAGTATGAGTCTGGGCAGTAGGAGGCAGTAAGGTGGGAGCTATAGCTATAATACTGAAATTTGAAAGTTTAAGCATAATTCAGCCTTTTATTCACAGTGGTAGTCAGATATGGTTGTATAAGGCAGTTATCACTTGAAAGGGTTACTTGACATCACAAGAAAAGTCCTAACAATCAGGATATAAAGGGTGGGGCTAACAGGGTTTGTATTCATTCATGTATTCCTGTCCTCCCAGTGCAGTAACAATAATCTGTATTTAGTCTCTTGTGAGGCATCAAGGTCAAATGAAGAGTATCATTTATCCCAGATCTTTGTAAATAGCTATTAAGTACTAGGTTTTAAATCACCACCATTTGGTCAAGATTGACCCCAGATTCTGCTGAAGAATTTATAGGGGCATTCTTCCCCACATGGTAGCAACTTAGATTAATACTAATAAGGAGAACTGGTGGTTGTGAATCTGCCCCAGGATGGTTCCAGTCAACATGACAACACCACAATACACACCATGTATGCAGAGGGGCAGCTTTCACCATATATACCAAGAAGGAAGCTGGAAAGGCTCAGATTATAGCAGTAAACCAAAACAGAAACTAAACAAATCAGCCATTCATGGACTGGAAATTACTTTGAAATTGCTGATTGATAAAAGTTTTTATTCACATTCATCAACATCTTCATTGGCATTTTGTGACTCATCACTTGCAGTAAATGTGTATTGTTGACTTGGGGAACAGCAACAGGAAACAAAGGAAGTATGGTGTTACTATAACAATAACTTGTCATTGATGTGTAATCAGTCAAGTCATAGCTGGGAGGCAGAGAGATTGGGGGCCAGAATTCTGGACAAAGAAGTACAATTTAAAAGAAGTAGAGGAAGACACATTAACCCAGGGATTTCCAGAACCTGGGGATAGGATGAACAGGCACATCAAAACAATCAATTTACAAAGTTATGGAGCAGAACGTTTTAAAAAATAAATATAAATTTAAGCATGGAAATACTATTACTGTACACGTGATCCAAAAGAGAGCTCATCCCTGAAATTACCATATGGCACTTACTATTATGGCACGTGCACTAACGGCAGAGACATTGGAGTGAGTAAGGAAAAAAGAAAAAAGTTGAAGAATTGAGGAAAAAAACTAAAATTATCTTTTCTTTAAGCATAACATTAAATTGATTCAATGCTGGGTTACTTGTTGCAGCTCATTAGTACTGATGGAAATAATTCAACATTTAAAGGAGTTTTGTTTCAGCTACTCATCATTAGGATTAATTAATACAATCCTTCCTGTTTGATTTTCTTTAACCCAGCAACACAAGGAAATCCTCTTTACTCACAGTTCCAGAATGAGGACCACATCTGTTTTATTCTCATAAACGTCATGTAAGGTGATAATGTTGGAATGCTGGATCTGCTGTAGGATGTTCACCTCCCGTTCAATTTCCTCACGTCTCACTCCTCTCCGACTGGCTCGAACCTGCCGTTTCTTAATAAACTTCGCCGCATATTCAAGTCCAGAGCTTTTCTCGCAGCATTTCTTCACGATAGCAAACTGGCCACTGAAACAAAAAGAAAAGCAAAGGAAAAAACAGTCAGAAAGAGCAATTTGATTGCTGGAAGTTATAAATATCAGAAGATTTTCAGATGAAACCAAAAAATGCTAAAAAAAGAGCAAAAAAATTCTCCTGGTCTCCAGGTCTCCATCCTTCCCTTAGCCAATAACCAGACATTAGGTTGGCCACCAGAATTGTTAAAATAAAAGAAAACCACGAAGAACATTCTCATTCATTGGCCACCGACCTGGAGTCTCTTGAAACAAGCAAGAAGTTCTGAATAAGGGTCACTGGAATCATAATCTGCTTCTCTCTCCGAAGATGCTGCCAGAGCTGCCGAGTTTCTCCAGCTATTTCTGTTTTCCTTTGTTTCAGATGTCCAGCATCCACAATTCTTTATTTGTACGAGCAGATTGATTATAAATATTTATAAAGTACTGGACAAACCCATCAAATATGATTCTTCTACAATTAACACTTTCCTCCAATAATACCAAGCAACTTCTATCAATTCTTCTAAAACAAACATAAGCATAAGATGAGAAAGTGGCAAAAGAGCTTTAGGAGCCATAAGTTCAAAGTCTCACTTTTTAAATCAAGCTACTCTACATTGACCACAAGTTGTGACTCAAATTACTTAGATACTGCATCCTAAAATGCCACAACTTGAGTTTATGGTGGGGGGTGATTGTTTAACTTTATAAATAGACATTTTTTTCTCACATACAGTTCACCATTACTAAAGTGTCATTTTAAAAAAAGTTGAAACCGTTCTGGGAAATGACCCATTACTAAAAACAAAAACAGGAAGATACTAAAATGGAAATAGACCTTCAATTGCTAAAACAAATGAATATTTAAAGGGGTATTGATTTTTGGAATTTCTGAAAGGTCAGACACTGATGTGGTTGTGGATGATACTGTGCCACTGAAGTAAACATTATAATTTTACAAAACAAAAAACACAAAGAACTGTGAATGCTGGAAATCAGAAACAAAAACAGAAGCTGCTGGAGAAAATCAGAAGGTCTGGTACTTTCAGTGGAGAGAAAGCGCAGTTGGCATTTCGGAAAAAGGGTCACTGGACCCGAAACATTGACTTTGCTTTCTTTCTACAGATGCTGCTAGACTACTGGAGTTTCTCCAGCTCCTTCTGATTTTATCACAATATCACTCCTGCATTCTACCTTATCAGCTTTGTTCTTTTCCCATCGCTATCTTCCTCGAGCCTGTTTGCTTAGAAGCTATTCATCTCAAAATCTTACTGGAGGGTCATTGGCCCGAAACATTAATCTGGGAGTTACCAGTATTTTCAGTTCTTATTTAGTTTTAAGGATGTTAGTTCAAGAAACCCCTACAGTTTTGTCATTTCTCCTGGTTTTTGTAGAATTAACCAACATCACAATTCAAGGCTGAAATGCTGCACAGTTCGGTAACAACTAACCTGAAACATTGATTGGCTGGAAATGTCTTGTTGAGCAACCACATGACACAGTTAAATGTGAAGTTAATTCTTTAATTGATCCATCACATAGCTGTTCAGGTGAATGCATTCACTCAGTGCATGGTCACAAACATGGCTTGAATTGATGAGGACAAAAAAAAAAGTTCTATTCCTGTCAGTTAAAACAGGAACAAGAAAACAACGTCCTGAAAGCTGATTATATCCAAATTATATTTTTTTAAAAACTCTTCAGATTGTCTTCAGCCTCTGAGCTCCTCTTTTAGCTACAGTACTAACATGGCTGATTCACTCCAGTTTTTGGTCAATGGTAACAGGGGATGTTGTTAGTGGGGGAATTCGGTGATGATAATGCATTTCAATACCTGGGTGATATGGTTAAATATTCTGTCAGAGATGGTTTTCAGCCCCAGCCTGGATATTTGTCCAGGTCTTGCTGCACAAGTTTCTGAGAAGTCACAAATGCGTATTGAACATAGTGCAATGAACAACAAATGTACCCAGTTCTGACCTAATGATGGAGGGAAGGTCATCAATGAAGCAGCTGAAGGTATTACTCTGAAGAACTCCTGCTGAGATGTCTGGCCTCCACTAACCACAACCATCTTCCTTTGTGGTAGGGATGACTCCAAGCAGCAGAGAGTTTTTCCCATGCTTTTTTGGGATCTTGATGCTACATTCGATCCCCAGGACCAGTTGGGATCTATCACAGGATATAGGAGTCAAGGGATAAGATTGCTGGGGTCTTGACAGACATCTCTAGATCCTCTTTAGCCACAGGTGAGGTTCCAGAAGACTGGAGACTAACTAATAAAGTTATTTTGTTTAAGAAGGGCAACAGGGATAATCTGGGAAATTACACGCTAGTGAGCCTTACATTAGGGAAATTATTGGAGAAGATTCTTAGGGACAGGATTTACTTGCACTTGGAAAAGAATGGACAGCAATGTTAAGAGGCATTTAGACAGACTCATGACTAGGCAGGGGATAGAGGGATACAGACCACATGCAGGCAGATGGGTTTAGGTTGGAATGCCATCAGTGTAGACTTGGAAGGACAAATGTCCTGTTCCTAAGCTATGCTGTTCTATGTTCAGTGTAGCTCACACAGAGCGTGCTACACTGTTGATGGTGTTGCGTCTCAGTTACACAAAGCTAGCTCCTGGCCACCCTCTGTGTATACAAAAATATCCTTGTTATATTACAAAAAAAGAGTTGTTTTTCATGTCCTGTAGACTATTTCTACTTCAATCAACATATTAAAGAAATACATTATCTGGTCATTGTCATAATCCTGTTTGTGGGAGCTTTGTGTGCAAATTGGCTACCACATTTCCAACATTACAATACTGACTGCACTTCAAAAGTATATCGTTGGCTGTAAATCATTTGGCAAGTCAGTGGTGTGAAAGGTGCATATAAATATATGACGTTCATTTCTCAACAAACAATCCATCTCTGCTGTTAGTATCCACTGCTTGCCAACTTGTCTCATCTTCCAATTCTCACATCTGTGCTAGGGGAGTAATCAGCATTTCACAAACTCATCTTTGTTTTTCATCAAGATACACTTAATCTTATAAAAATGCTTATTTTATCACAAGTTTTCCATTGATCAATAGACATTCCAAAGGAATCAAACAGCAGTTTATACAACCTGACACCAAGATGGTAAAAGAAATGCACATTCACCTAAAGTGTTTAAACACCCTCTTAAGGACTGAATGTTGAGACACACTACACTTTCCCAAACTATGCACCACAGCCTTTCAAACCCCTTCTCCAGCAGGTGAGTTGAGAAATGTAGATTCTATGGGATCGAGTGTTTTCACAATTGATCTGCTTTGCTGCAGGTGTGAGTGTCAATAGTTAATGTTGGCAGGCCACTTAACCCTTATCTATGACTGGACTTTCCTGTTTGAAATATCCAAGAGATTATAATCTCCTTAAATTCTTCAAGCAAAATAAGGATGTACACACATACAAAATCATGTTTCACACAGATGACTAACGATTCTTCCCAACACTAATTCAAAAAATAGGCGTTTGCTCCTGAGCTTCCTTTTCATTTCTATGGATATCTTTTTAATTTATTGAGTTCCCTTTTTAACGTGGGTAGTAAGTGAAAAAACAGCCCAGTTTTTATGCAAACTGCTCAATGCAGAGAACAGCTAATTGGGGAAGTCGCTTAAAGTGATGACTTTGATCAATTCAAATGTTTCACTCTGTTGAATTTAGTGATGTTAACTCTGTAATTGAGGGAAATGGTGATGGATTTTTTTTTGCTGATCTTCACATAAAAAAGTCATCTCCAATATTTGCTCATTAATGTTTGGAAGGTTATTGGCTCTAATGAAATAATAGAAAGCACTTCTAAATGAATAACTTGTTTTGTGCTTTCTCTCAAAATTACAACATGTTCCACTAAAGTAGCCTCGAATATCTACACACAAGCAATTCTGTAGGAGGAGGTCTCCTGCCTGAGACTTATTGCGCTCAACTGGAGTGATTCAGCAGCTGATTAAAAAAAAAACACATTATTAATCCAGAGAGGATGAGGAGGATGAGGAATCTTGTTTGTTCATACAGTGATGTACTCTCTCACTAGCCAGAGAGCTGTCTAAAATATAGCACTTTAAAAACAAAGTCTTTTTGCTCACCAACAACCTCATTTTAAATCCCAGTAATGAACTGCGCCTGCCAAGTAGTAGTTGAACTCCGGTTTAAAACAAAAATTAAGCTCAAGGGACTGGTAACTCCAATGCTAACAGTGTGGTTCAAACAGGAGAAGGCACGAGGTGTATGATAGGGACATGGATCAGAAATTCACAGCAAGCAGGTAAAAAGTCTTGAAAGGAATAATTAACCTAAACTAATGGATATTAAATAGTATTAAAATTTGGGTATTGTAGTGTAAATACATTATGATGATTCAGAAACTAAGGAGAGCAAATAAATAAAGTCAAGGTAAACAAGTTTTTGGTTTTCACTTTTGTGAAGGTAGTGTTTTTTAAAGAAAGGTCAGGTCACTTTAAAGCAGTGGGTTAAGACAACATTTAAGCAATCATGCGACTCAAGCTAAATAATTGGTCAAACTACCTGGTGAGATGTAATAGATAACACAGTGTGGAGCTGGATGAAGACAGCAGGCCAGGTAGCATCAGAGGAGCAGGAAAGCTGATGTTTCGGGTCGGGACCCTTCTTCAGAAAATTCCCTTCTGAAGAAGGGTCCCGACCCGAAATGTCAACATTCCTGCTCCTCTGATGCTGCCTGGCCTGCTGTGTTCCTCAACCTTCACACTGTTATCTCAGACTCCAGCATCGGCAGTTCTTACTATTTCTGGTGAGATGCAAGGTGTTTACTAAATTGAGCTTTTGTGATCCAGAGAAGTAGGAAAAGCAAAACAGTGTTCAGTTCAGAAAAGATCCATACTAGTAAATGTGTTGTTCAGAAACCTGAAGATAGTCAAAAGTAATTGGAAAGAAATCTTGCCTTTTTTAAAAATCAGTGATTAAAGATAGTGAATTAGCCTTTGTCTGTGTG